CTAGCGTGTTAAAGCATCCCAGAGGTTTAAAGAAAAAAGTTTCTGAAAAATCCTGAACCTAGCGGTTGAAAGCAAAAAAGTTGCCGAAAAATTTTAAAACCAGTGGTGGAAAGAGTTCTTTGTCATAAAAAATTATTTTCCATGGTGGTTAAAAGCAACCCAGTGCAAGAAGTTAAAAGGAAAAAAGTTGCTGAAAAATCTTTAGCCCAGCGGTTGAAAGCAAAAAAGTGTGTTTAACTACTAAAAAGTTTTAAAAAGTGAATAAAAATGTGAATGAAAAAAGCACGAATTTATTGATTGAACAAATTTTAAATTTGAGAAAAAAAGGCGCATTTCTTATTCTGAACTGCGTAGAGTCTAGGCTAGATCTCAACCGCTGGTTCAACCGCTCCCGCTGAGTTTTTTTCTCCAAAGTATATATCATTCCTAATAATTTAGAATTTTGTATTAGTTAAATACTTCCCAATTTCAGATAAATCAATCAAATAGCATAGCATATTTTTTTTTAAAGACTCTCTCTAGAGAATTTCTTGAGACCATCTCTGAAGATTTTTATATCTGGTGAACAATTTCAGAGAACTTCTTGTAACCAATTCTAGAGAATTTTCTAAAACTAATTCTGAAGTATTTCTTGTGCCTGTTTACATAGAATTTCTTATGCCTGTTTTAAGAGAATTTCTTGTGACATATTCTGGATTCATATTCAAGACTTTTTCACAACTCAATTTCAAAATATTTTGCTTAAAAGATAAATAATTACTGACCAAATGCCAAGAATTTCCTGATCTGAGTAAATTTTAGAGAAATCTATGAAAACCAAGTCTAAAAATTTCGCATGAATACAAAATTTAAGTCAGAATATTTTCATGATATTTGCATGAATCCAGGTCATTTTTGCATGTAATTTTGTAATGCCTATACGAAAAATTTAAATTTTTGTACAGCAGTATTGTGCCTGAAAACAAAATTAAGAAATATTCGTTGCATGCTGTATAGTGCATAAATATGAAAGATTTTGATATTTGGACAGTGTGGTGTGAATTAGTTTCAGTAAAAAACAAATTCCATCTAACCCTACTTGTCTCCAAGTTCAGACCGGACTGATGATTGGTGAATGGATGCTATCCCATTTGAACTACTCCCGTTTGAACTATTGTTCATTTGAACTCTGGTTTGTTCGAACTACTGCACGTGGTACCATGTGAGTAGTTGAAATCAACAATAGTTCAAACGAGTAAATATATTGCTCATTTGAACTATTTTTCAGTTCATTTAAATCATTTGAACTAATTGATATTATAAATGAAATTCATAAAAAAATAGTTTTGTAATTTTTTCATTTGAACTATTTTTTTTTCTCATTTGAACTATTTTTTTCAATTGAACTATTTTATTTGAACTATGTATTTGTTCATTTAAACTATTTTTTTGTTCATTGTAACTATTCTTATGTTCATTTGAACTATTTTCATGTTCATTTGAACTAATTTTATGTTCATTTGAACTATTTTAATGTTCATTTGAACTATTTTAATGTTCATTTGAACTATTTTTATTTTCATTTGAACTATTTTTATGTTCATTTGAACTATTTTTATGTTCATTTGAAACATTTCTGTGTATTTGTTATCTAATTAATTGTATGGTGCGTCCCTAACTTCATGATTAAAATTTAAAAACTGAATTGGTAGAAAAATAGTTCAAATGAGCAGGTAATTTGTTGATTTGAACTACAGGATATGACGTCATGTCAGTAGTTTAAATAAACAATAGTTCAAATGAACAATAGTTCATACAAACAATAGTTCAAACGAACAATAGTTCAAACAGGAGTAGTTCAAATGAGAATCCACCAGTGAATGTGATTATGATTATATATTTCGTGAATAACTCAGATACTTTTTGAGATTTATTGCCGGTAAATGGTATAATAGTACTAAAACCTGAGAATTTGGGCTCATTCAGCCAGCATGTGAGAGCTCCGAGGTGGATCGTATAGATGACGATCCCAGCCTCTAACTCTGATTGGTTTAATTTTGAATTTATATTCATCATTTCATGGAATTTTTTCTCAAAATTTAACGAAATAACGAAATAGCTGGAAATGACGAAATATCAGGAAATAACAAAATATGCAAATACCAAGATTTTCTTCAGAATTTACACGAAATAGCTATTGTGCATCAATGTGCAAAACCATCAAAATTTTGTGCAAGGTTTACTTAAGCACATCTTTGCACGATTTTCGTGCAAAAACTTTAGACTGGAAACCCTACTGGTTGGTTGTTAATAAAACATTATTCTCTAAAATAATGTTTTAACCTTCAAAATTAGGATAAATATTCAAAAATGTGCTACATCCCATTTCCAAAGATATTAATTGCTTTTAAACCACTAAATGTCATTTTATTGTATTAAAAAGTGTTTCCAACTGGTTCAGTTACCATAAATTGAAGGGTCCATGTTGACACATTTTGCTTTAAAATACAGGTTTAGCTTTTAAGAAGTACTCAAAATTAACTCAGTCCCTTTTCCTAAGATAAAACAAAAAAGTCAAACATTCTTCTAATTCATATATATAGAAAAATCCTTAATAATATCATTGAAAATGCGCAATTTTTTCGTATTCCGGTTTAAATAGTTAAAAGTAAAATTTTAATTTTAATTATTTTGAAAATCTTTAGAAAAGAGACCGGGCAAATTTTCTAATTTTAGCCCTACAGGCACAACATCCCAATGAACAGGGTTTGTACCAGGATAAAACAATGTTTATTGGCCCAGTGGATTATAAAGCTTGAAACACACTGTTGTCAGGGACAGAGTGTATATACTTTAAAAGGGTTATTTCATGATATAAAAGATATAAATAAGCTGTCTTATCTGTAGAAACTACTTACTGGGAATAACATCAATGGGAGAGCAATCTTGTGGACTTAAAGGTACACATAAAGCTATTTTTTCAATCAAAGAAACTTTTGACAAAATTTTACCAACAATAACCAATTTTTTAAACGAAAACTATTCCACAAGTTGCTGATTTTGTTGTAAACTTCTCTGCTCAATTCCAGGCAAATAAGCAGAAATGCACAAAAACTTATGTGGGAACATTTATTTTCTTTTTGTTAAATTTGGTAAATGTCTCTTTTCAAAGATAAAAAATATGCTCTTTGTAATTTTTTAGTTTGTTTGTCAAAAATTGAAAGCAACTTTTTAGTTGTTCATATATTCAAATTTGGATAATATTTATTGTATTTATGTTTTCATGGCACAATATCCCCATATAAATAGGAAATCTGGGGAAAAATTTGTCTCATGAACATATTTATTGTTCTAGGTGGTAGACCTGGAATTTACTCTAATGTATATGAGCACAGAGCCTGGATTGATAGAATAATGGTACCTGAGCCTTGTTTTTCTTTTTATTTTATGGAAGGTTACCAAGAAAATACGATGAGAATTCATACTTAAATTTTATTAGTTGTTTTAGGAAAACTTGAGTTTCACTATAGTACACATGAAAAAGTTCTCCCACACTTTGGGTTTGACTTACAAAATATTTTTAGGGTAACCCTGTATCACACAAACAAACAACACATTCAAATTTTTAATATATTTGAATATGTTTGTTCTTTTCATGAAATTTAAAATTTTCAGAATACTGAATCAGACAGCAAGTGTTCTAAACGGATTCAGAAGGATGGTAATTAACATTTAAGACACTAAATACTCATATTCTTTTAACACTGTAAATATTGAAAAAAAAATTTTTCTAAATCATTAATAATTTCTTAATAATTTGAAAACGTTGGCTATGAAAGATATTCCTGATTTAGTATCATTATAATAAGAAAAGTTGAATATAAAACAGTTCTTGCAGATTATTTTAAAAGGTGAAAAAATGGAAAAAACAGATGGGGTTCTACTTGGAACTTGGCGGCCATGAGTATTGCAGAAATGTGATTAAAAATGAAAACAAAAATACATATATTCCTGAGAAACTTCAAAACATACTTTTTGATACAAATTTTTTAAACATTATACAATGCACTATCCTTATAACCTTAAATAAATAAATATCATTATTTAAATAAATTAACTTTTTTTCAGATTTTTTAAATTGTCCCATTTTAAGGTTTGTATACCTAAAACATGAAACAAACTAAAATCTTGAAAATTCTGTGAAAATGCTAATCCTGGTTTTTAACGACTCACTATATAGTTTTACCCCCTGAATTGAGGGAAATTAAAGTTTTTTCTAGATACATCTACTCCATCTACTGCACCTCGAACTGGAAACTGCTCTCAAAAAAAAGTTGTGTGTTACTTCCCTAGCTGGGCCTATTACCGTCCAGGTTCTAAATGTCCATTATCCTATATTTTTAATAGAAACTGAGGACGAAATTTTCGTTAAGGATAGCTCTTACCTTTTGCAGCTGAGCAGAATATCCAATGCAAAAAATTATAAATTAAAGGTTGCCTTATAGTCCATGGAAAAAATGCCATCTTAGTGCTAAAGGCATAGATGAGTGGTTAAAGTTTAATTTTGTGTTGGTACTAGAGTTTCCATTTGGGGAACGGAATGATTAGGAAATTCTTTTGTAAAGTGTAATTCTTGGACATTTCCGGATGAAATGGAAAATCAAATTTTGCCAGGTTGTGTTATGTCCCAGGTAACAATTTTGTGGAAAATCCGCAGAAATTCCTAGGAATCTATCCCAGGAATCTTTCACAGGAAAATCCGCTGAAAATGTCAACAGACATTCCAAGGAATTTCTTGTAACCCATTCCTAGGAATTTCTTGTATCCCATTCCAAGGAATTTCATGTAACCCATTCCAAGGAATTTCTCATCACCTTATCTGAGGAATTTCTTTTCACCAATTACAGGGAATTTCTCTAGAGAATAACCTGAGAAATTGTCAACAAAATAAGGGAAATTCTTGTGAATTTCCAGAGAAAAGTTCTTTAGAACCAATTCCTGGGAATTTCCTAGGAACTATTCCCAAGATTTTATTAGAAATATCTTGTGATATTCCCAGCATATTTCTGAGTAAATTCACTAATAAGGACTTAGACCCAATAGCAGTGAACATCTTAACAACTATCTATGTTGCCACTTCAACTGCTTAGAAGTATAACCATCTTATTAAGTCAGAATGTAATAGTTGTTATTGATCTTACTGAAGTTGTCTTGTATTTTACATTTTCGGACAACTTAATTTTTAAGGACAAATGAAAAAATTTAATAATTTTTACAATTTTTTTTTAAAAGATGGTTTTGCAGTTAATTATCAATTTTTATAAATAAGTTGTGAGAATTTCCAAAAAATTCTGGAATTTTTTTTCCAGAATTCAGGAACAGGATTATGAAAATTTCTAGCTAATAGGAAAAAAATTGTTCCGGAATTGATCCAGATCTTCGAAACCTATTCCATAACGGAAATGGATTAAAAATCTGGATCTTATCCTATTATAAACTGTAACCTGGAATTCTTGTAGAAACCAATAGTTGGCATTCTGTTTTGAATATTATTATCATTAAGATTTATTTTCACACACAAATATGAGTAAGGTTAATATAGTGTAGGAATAATATCATTCTCCTTTTAAATAAGTAAAAAGAATTCTACAAACTCCTTCTCTAATTTCATAAACATATATATGCTGTTTTGAAGTAATCAAGTCATCTATTTTAATAATCAGAACATTTTCAGGAATATTTTCATTGCAATTAAACATATTGATTCACGTTCTATGGGAACACATTCTAATAACTACATATAGACTTTTCCAGTATTACATTCTTGATGTTTCTAGTAGACTTGTCATCCACCATTAGCAAAGTGTTTGCACCCATTTTAGAGAACTGTACTAGACTTTGACATCCACCATTAGCTTTGCACCCATTTTAGAGGATTGTACAAGACTTTGACATCCACTATTAGCAAAGGGTTTGCACCCATTTTAGAGAACTGAACTAAACTTTGACATCCACCATTAGCAAAAGGTGTAAACACATTCTCATTGACTGTAGTAGACTTTGAAATCCTTGAAATCCACCATTATTAAACATTTCTAGATTGATATGAACATTTCGTGATTACAGCTGGACATGGTCACCCTTTTAAATGTTTGGAATATTTTGAGAAACTAATGATTCACAAGTTCACAACTGTTTCAAATCTTTTCATCATTTTATATTCCTTTAGCTTATACATTCTCTGATCTTATGCATGTACAACGCTTATATTAACAACAAATTTGAAGTGGTACTAAATTTTGTTCTTTCTTATTGTAGGTCTTGGCAGCTACAAAGTTGAAGATATTGATGCAAGCCTATGTTCACATATGTATTATGCTTTTGCAACTCTGGATGGAAGTACTTACACTATGAATGTTAAGGACTCTTCTCTGGACATTGATCTAAAGAATTATGAGAAGTTTGTTGGACTCCGAGCTCAATTTCCAAATAAGAAATTTTTAATTTCCCTTGGAGGATGGATGGACTCGAGGACTGACAAGTATTCTACCCTTCTTGCCTCTGCAGCTTTGAGAACAAACTTTGTGACAAAAGCTGTGGAATTTATTTGCAAGTACAAGTTTGACGGCCTGGATTTGTTTTATCAATATCCTGCATATGAGAAGCCTGTACATGAAAAATCTACTTTTGCCCAGTTAGTAAAAGAACTAAAAACTGCTTTCAAGCCTTATGGATGGGAATTAACTGCTGCAGGGGCACATGGAAAAGAAGCAATAGATGCTGGATATGATGTTCCAGAAATCTCCAAGTATCTTGATGCAATTCATTTGATTACCTATGACACTCATGGACCGTGGGAGAGTGTTGTTGGGCATCATGCTCCCCTCTACTTTTCATCTCCCTTAGATCAAGTTACAGTGAACTTTACGTAAGTTTATTTACTTTTGGAATAATTGTCAGTTTTGTTAAAATTCTCAACTTTAGGGTAAACTACTGGTTGAGTAAAGGAGCTCCTAAAAGCAAATTGATTGTTGGAATCCCAACTTTTGGTCGATTATGGAAACTTTGCAGTTCTTCAACAAATATTGGATCAAGAGGATGTGGGCCAGGTACTCCAGGTAGCATCATTTGGGATCAGGAGGGGTTCCTTAGTTACCAGGAGATATGTCTGGAACTAAGTAATGGGTGGACGGTTGTTGATGATGATACTGGTTCCCGTGGGCCTTATGCCTTCAAAGGAAACCAATGGGTTGGATATGATGACCCATTTGCTGCAGGACGCAAGGCTAAGTACATTGGTGACAATGACTTAGGCGGAGCAATGATCTGGGACTTATCATCAGATGATTTCAATGGCAGATGTCCCAGAGGAAAATATCCCATGATATCGACTGTGACCAATGTATTTAAGGTATAGTTGGAAAAAGGGCAGAATGTTGGATTGATGTGAGACAAAAGTAAAATTAAGTTGTTTTGGTTTCCTGAAAGCCATTTCACCAAAGTTCTGTCAAAAAATATAACAAATTAACATTACATTTGTGCACCGGTTATTGACAAAGAATAACATTTGTTTTTGGACTGAACACTAAACTTTTAAAGTCTCAATTTTTTCAGCATGATCTTTGCCAGGGAACTTAAGCTAGACCTTAACTGCATCTGAAACTAGAAGCTGAAGATAGATCTGATGATATTATAGATGTATGTCAGTTGAAACAATAAAATCTCATAATCCAGCTTGCCGGATAACTATTTGGTTCAATTTTAAATAATTAAGGAAATATTAAAGAGATTTGTTTTCAATACAGTAGGACTTCATTAAGAAAACAGAGTATTTTGAAAATTAACAAAGGCATCCATTTCATAACAAACAGCAAAAACAGTTAATTTTTTAATCATACATAAGTAACAATGTTAAAAAAATTAGCAGCAGCTTTTATTCTTTTTTCTGCTTAAAATTTGAAGAAAAAATAAATTGTAATATATATTCTTAACACCATCTACTGATTTTTCCTTCCTTTGCTTAATTGTTGAATTAAAGAATGTTGTGCATTTTGATGTTTCTAACCTGTTATTATGATTTTTATTTCTAAAGCATTTCTAAAGTACATAATTTTTTTTGTCTTTTATCTTATATTCTAGGTTCCTTTCAACCACTTGCTTCTTTGTATGCCAAATAAGTAAGCTTTTAATATTTACCTTATACATTTATTTAAAGAGTTTGAACCCATTCAGGCTTAACTCCCAATTACTTGGATATTCCCAATTGTTCTTAAATCTCTTTCTATTATAGTTCCCAATTCACCTAATTTATTCCCAATCAATCTATTATTTTATCCCAACTGTTTATTGTTTTTAGACTCCCAACTTAAAGGGAGTGAGCGAACATTCCCTTTAAGTTTCCTACATCCTTTTGTTTACCTTCATTCTTACTTTAAATATTTCCACATCCCAATCTTATGATTTTTAGTTTGTAAATAAGAACTAAAAGATGAAAATGTTCAAGGTATTTTATTTCACAGACGACATTAGACATAAACATAGTAGTAAGTAAGAAAACGATATTTGACATTAAAGCTGAGACACATGAAAAAAGATGATTTTTACTTCAGTTTCATTAACACTGTTATAACACTTAAAAATACACCCTGTAGCTAGATAAAGAAGTTAACATGTAGGGTGAGAAGAATTCCAGTAATTGCAACCCTGTAATAAACTTCTGAACCTCTTTTGTATAGTTCAACCCCCCCACCCC